GCAAAATATTCTTACAAGTAAAACAAAAAGCCCAATGATTTTATCATGTGTCTCTTCTGCTAGAGCTAAATGTTTATAAAGAAGGATTAAGATACTTTTTTTTTTCCTCCCTGGCAACAGCTGTAATACATACACTGCTAGAGAAAATGTGCAAAATAAAAGACTTTCAGTCAACACTGAAGAAACATGTTTGGATACAGTACTGCAAGGAACTTGCTGAAGAATCTAACTGCGTAAAAATTCTGAGCTCCAGCTCGCTGCCAATGTTCAGATTTCGCAAAGAAAAACTCGGGCGAGTTTTCCTTTGGGATGTAGTCAGATCAGGTACTACAACCTCTCCCTGGACTGGCACATTAGCTGTCCTGAGCTTGCTGCCTTAAGCTTCTGTGCAAAAGCTGTCTCGCTGATTTTTCAAAGAGATTCAAGCTGCGGTTTCACAATCATTAAAGCCACATTTGGGCAGTTCCTGATGTCTCAGAAAACAGATTCAGCCCAGGCAGGGTGTGAACACACAGCCCTGCTTCTGCTGAATCAGAGTAAGAGCATGACCACCAGTGGGAAAACAAAAGTGGCTCTGGCTTAATACCTGCCAGGATGGATTTACCATGCTGACAGTTTCAAATAGCTGTGGATTAGCAGCCTGAGTTCACACCTGACCTGCCCTGCAATTCCTATGGCTACAGCATTTTCACTTGGCATCAGCAGCCCTACAGCTGGATTTGTTAGCAAACAGCAGCCTTGAATCAGTTCAAAAAATGTTCCCTTTTTATCTTAACTCACCTTCCATGAGAAATACTTCTCCATTAGAAAACTAAAACCAACAATACCACGTGTGTAATTCAGACTTAACTCGTGCTCCGACCTACCTCTTCATTTCAATTTAATTGTCCATATCAATGTACCTAAGCCAGCAAACACATCACTAGCACCAGTTCCTCGTAGCTGTTTTCAAAAGAGGGAACCTGCACCCCGTTACTAACCCCTTAGCCTGTGAACTCTCCGGAGGATTAATTTCCCCTCTGATCCCCCTGCACATCCCTGTGCAGCTGATCCAGCCGGACAACACAGACTCTGCTAGGTGGAGAGGCGAGACAGAGCCCTGCCCAGCTTAATGGGGCTGGATGGAAAATGTCTGGATTTACAGATTGAGGAAAAGCTTATTGGAAATACTCTCACAAGAGGTGAGGCTTGCCTGAAATCGTGCACTTTAGCAGCTTCAAGATTTAATTACTTTTTTTTTTTAATAGAATGCTACACAACGTCCCACCTTAACTACTGGAGCTCCACCAGATGCGTAACAGACTGCTTCTAGATAATGCAGAAAGGACTACAACAGGTAAGTCCATCTCCACCAGGCCTCTGCACCTTCTCCCTCTCTCTCTAGCATACACTTGCTCAGGGTTAAGGCTTAACAGCTTTTGTCTGGAAAAAGGAATCATATAATCTATTCTATGCTTCATCTTCTGCCAGATACAGTACTCCAGCCATCACCTTGTCGAACAAGTTGTCTCAGATTGCAGTTGGAACACACTCTGTAGAACAACTGCTTTCTAACTCACTTCAACAAAGCGGTGCCATAGACTGCGGGCCATACAGCAGTAAAGATGCGTTGGTATCACGGCACCTGCCTGTTTAAAGCCCACAAAAGGAGGTAGAGGACCTGGAATTTTGGGTGATTCAGTTTCAAGGTTAACCTCATGTGCACTTGGGAGAAAAGCTGCGCCACTATGCGGAGGGCAAACGCCTCTGTAACGCAGCGAGATCTGCAGGGCGTTTAAAACGCACCACCCCGTGGTAGGAAGCCACATCTACTCTGATGAGTAAATACCACACAGCCTTCCGTCGCAGTGAATACTTTCCGCTAGTGCTTTCTTTCCTCGCACATTACAAGAAAGACAAAATCAACGTTTTCATTATACTGTATAGTAAGAGACTACTCACACAAACCCAAAGAATGCACCTGAGCCTAAAAAGAAAAAACACATATGCACTTGGTACAATCAATGTATGTAATTATCTCTCTAAAATCTAACACATTTCCTCCTTATCTTCTGCTCCTTCCAAGACACTATTAAATTGCCCTAATCCTGACTGCTCTCAGCAGAGATGCCTTCATTTCCCAAAGGCAGAAACACAGTTCTACCTTTGTTCTATCTGGGAAACTGGAGAATGTACTTCGGAAGGAGGTACAAAGATCAGATATTACTGCTGTTATTCTGTAATAAATGATTGGACTTGCTCGTAAAGACAGGCTCAGACCAAATCCTCAAGGCTAGGCACCCCTACATGTTGTGGGAGATTGGCTCGGGAATCAAATGCCAGTGCCGTGCTCACCTTCAATAATAACACGGTAAGAAAAAGCCAATATTCTGACGCAAACCAAACTGTGTTCGTGCACGACTTGGCACAGGACCGGGTTTTGTGCTTCGGGTAATACCCCACTCGAGTCTTAAAAGTTAATCAGGAACTACAGAAGAGGAACGCAAAATATCCCCCCTAAACCCGAAGCATCTTTCAGAAGAAGGATTTCTCCCTGGATACAAAGCTGCTGACAACTCGCTGGAGGACTCGCAGTCTACACAGAGCAATTGCCAACGGTCTCAACCCTTCAACGGTTTAGTTGACGCCACAGACCCCTTTTGGCAGCAATCTAACAAAGCACCCACATTCCAAACGGGCAGCAGAGAGCAGAAGCACATGCTTAGACAATCCACACAGAACTCCCCCTAACTGGAACACCTAGGTTGGTTTTAAACCTCAGGAAGGAATTGCATTCTCCCTAACCAAACTCGTCAACCTTTAGAGGGAGTGTTTACACCACCAGGCACTGCAAAACTGAGCCCGCAGACAGGCAAAAAGAAATCAGTTCAATTTCCTCCCAAAAGCAGGGCATTTTCCCTCACTGCGCTTGACAGCAGATGCCGAATCTTCAGACCTGGAAGTTGTGGGAGAAGTTGCGTCTGTTAGAAGTGCAATACGTTACATCCCAGTAACTTCATGGGAAAGGATTTCACTGTTTCACTTTGGTATGACCAAGCCCCTCATCAGAGGCTCTTAGAGGAAATGAACAGAATGAAAACGGAATGATACGGGAATAAGCAGCTGGCTTACAGAGCAAAGAAAGGTTACTAGCAGGATGTACAATCACCTGTGCTGATAGCACGTTCATAAGTCATCTGGAAAATGAGGTGGACATCATGATGCATTTTGCAGAAAACGCACAATTATTCAGGATGACCAAATTCAACTCTCACAGCGAGGATTACACGCGGATCTCAAAAATCTGATGGATAGAAGGGGGAAATGAAACATTATGCACAAAATAAAGTGCATGAAGGGGATTACTCGTTACTATACCTACACAGCGATGAGCTCCGAAACAACTGTTACTACACAGGGACGATATCCTGGAAAAACTGCGGCCAGTTCTCTGAAAATAAGAGTTCAACAATTATTCACAGTCAAGAAAGAAGAGGGAATTAGTTATTGGTTATTATGGAAGGAACTAAGGATAGAAAACATCCCGCTTTATCAAATCCATGTGGCAACTGTATCTTGCACAGTGAAACCCCAGTAACCCCACCTTGCTAAGATACAGTAGAAAGAGGAAAACAGATGCCGTGTTAGAGGAACCTCTGCTTTGCTGCCTTAGGGCAGATGGGTTTTTTTAAATCCATATAAACGGCACTACATATTTCTACAGTCATTAAAGACATTGCATCCATAAAAACTCCAGGAGCAGTGATCAGCATACTTCAACTGTTATCCACCAGTTGAAACAACACTTGCCTTGACCTGAATTTCTTGCTAGGCTAGGCAGTCAGGTTCTGAAGGCCCTCCCATCTTTCACAACCATCACAGCTCATGCCAGTGGAGTGGCAAGAAAAAGTTGCAGATAAGCAGTATTTTGACAGTGGACAGAGGATGAGAAAGCAGTAAGGCAGAAGCAGAGGATGAGAAAGCATAAAAGGCAGAAGTCTCTCCTAATTTTACTCTGTGTAGCACCATACTGGCTCTGGAGAAGCACGCGCTGTCTCTGACATGGGACCTCTCCAACTAACTGTGAGTACCTATTGCAGACATCTACATCAGTGCAAGCTGCAAGTTGCTCTTGACGGTACAGCAAGCCTAGAGGACTTCAAGGAGCACAGTCAATGGAGATCTCGTGTCATCCAAACGCAACCTACATTATGTCAAATCACTCATAACTTGAGCTCAGCTGCCTGGGAGAGGCAAGACAGCCTGCTCAGATGGGCACTTCTCAAATTAGCTAAGAACAGCCCCGCGTGAAGCGACCCAAGTTGATCATACTATCAGAGGAACTTCAGAAATAGGTTGCTGTGTGCACACAGTTACCACGCGGCAACGCAGTTAAATCCAACGACCCCCCTTCTTGGCAGGCCGGCAGATTTGCTGGAGTTCTCTAGAAACTACCTAGCAAGCACCAGTTAGTTCTAGGCCAGGAAAAACAGCCTCTCCAAAACCAAACAACGACTTACCAAAACTAACAATTCTCACAGGGATTTACTTTTAAAATAAACAAACAAACAGAGGACCACCAAGCCCTTTTTTTTTCCCGTTTTATTTATTGTTCTTTTGGGAGGCACAATGGAAATTTCAGCTTTCGCTCATTTTTTTTTCCCTTGCAAAACAGCAGGGTACAGGTTATAGCCATCAATCTACAATCAGTGCATACTTCAGCAGGTCTCCAATTAAATTTTCACATTTCCTGATGAGAAAAGATGCCAGACAGCAGCAATAGCTGAAATCAGAGTAGTTTAAGCAATACTTGCTTAAAAAGCTGCACTGACTGCTATTTTAAGGCAGGTTTGGTGAACGTTTGACAGGCAATTTCCTCAGGAAATTAAAAGAATTTTGCCTTCAGAAATACATTAACTTTGATTGAAAAGAAACTTTTACTTCATCGGTGTGAAATTATATTGATGTTACATTTCCTTTAGTTAGAAAAGACACTAGTGAATCTCCTTGTTCAGAATTCAGACTTCTCAGCTATTCCTTTACCTTGGAGGAATGGCACAACATGAAGGCAGGCAGTGACGCATTACTGTCAGACAAGGCAGAGCTTTCTCAGGAAATCAGCAATTCGGGCAACGCTGCAGTCTCCAGAATCTCTCAGGCTGTGTTCTCGATGAGAACAGCAATACCTTGGCCGCCGCCGATGCAAGCTGAGCCAACCGCGTATTTCCCACCACGACGCCTGTACAGAAAAAGTAACAGTGAAAATTATTTACATTGATAACATCGTAGTACCTGCTGTCCTGATTTTACAAAAGGAAACTAGCTGTCCATTCTGTGATTCTGTCATCAGCAAGGTACTACTAAAGATGACATTTTAGCATGTCTATGTTCTTCTTTTTCTATAAAAACACCATGAAGCCCCAACTGATGGTGAAATATTTCTGTAGAAAAACAAGGAGTTGCAGGTCTGAGTCTTTTACCATTGAAAAGATGGTACGTTATATCGTTCTTTGGAAGACAAAACGGCAAGGAATGACATGACGGGATGCTTGTGGTTTCAACACATAATAAAAATGGTGTAAGTAAAATATAAGTTTACCGCCAAGACAGTTTTTAAAAGCTGTGTTTTGTACAGCACACTGCAAGAAACAGTCTTCTGCAAGGTGCAAATTAATTGAGGCTGTACGGTTGAACACTAATACAGTGTTGCAAGTACAAGCAAAAAGAAACAGTGATCTTTGCCCTGAAGGGAAAAAAAAAGGAGGAAAATTCAGATTAAAATGGTGCTAAGCATATCAAGCAAGCCAAAAGAGTCAAAATTTGTGACACCGCACTAAAGGAGAAAGAAGGTGACGAGCAAGCCTTTTAAAATGCACCCTGTTAAGCACAGACTTTGCTCAAAGGCCATTTCAATACAGGAAGCCTTCCCACTGACTGCTCTGGGCTTGGATCAGACCCACTGGCAACTACCAGCTACGTACATACCTTAATTCATGAACCAGATGAGCTGTGATCCGTGCTCCTGAAGCACCCAAAGGATGACCTACAGCGATGGCACCTCCGTTGACATTGGATTTTTCCGGGTCAAGGCCCAGAACTTTTTCCACAGCCAGATACTGAGGTGCAAATGCCTCGTTCACCTAAAACAACCGAGAAACAACACCACTGTTCGTGTCTGACTCGCCCACGCAAGCTTTCCGCAGCGTGCGTGCACGCAAGATTAAACGAGGCGCGCTTATTTTCCAGGTCATTTTGATGGAGAAAAATATTAAACATTGTGTTTACAAAAGCGTATTCAGACAATATACAAACTGTCAGGCCAACCCAAAGTAAACTCAAATCCTTCTGGCACATGTGATACACACCAAGTATGTAGTAAATTTTATTAAAAAAAAAAGTTGTGGTATATTCTGACGCGATGTGTTCATGAAGACTGTATTGCTCTGACAAAAACCAGCCTTGTTCACAAACGGAGAAGTGTGACTAACTTAAAACAGTCCAGCAACAGAGTATAACCCCCACGCCACACGAAGGTATTTTTTTCCATGGAATGCTATCACACCATTTTCAGTTTCCACGTGCCTGAGATTTTTGTAAGGACGGTGCAACTGTCTGGCAGAAACTAGATGGACAGAGGTCAGGCAGGACCAGTGAGCTCCAGACATGCAGAAACACCCACCTTGTGATGACGGGCTACACGTACGAGTGGAATGTTTCTACTAAAAAGAACAGGAGTGACCTCACCGTTCACGTTAAGACTCCTTACCTCTACCAAATCCATGTCCTTCAGGCTCAGTCCTGCTTTCTTCAGAACCTCGGTAATTGCAGGTACAGGGCCTATTTGCAAATTGTATGCGCAGTTAGTTCAATAAAACATCAAGAAATAAATGCTTATAAACATCTTATACATAGGATGGCTTCATAAATCCTCACCAGACTCCCTCCCATGAGCCTCTGTGCAGCCAGTGAATTCTGGATATGCCACTCACCTGCTTTAGGAGGTGATAGGAGAACTCCTAAATCTCAAAACTATTTGGCAGCCCTCTCAGTACACTGCCAGAGAAAAGTTAGGAGCGTCACAAATGCTGCACAGCTATGCTGGCAAACACACGCACAGCTTTCAAGTCAGTAGAACTTCCAGTCCCCAGCCAAATAAAACAACTTCACGACAGTTTTGAGGCATTCTCTTCCCGGTACTCTCGGTTCAACTTATTCTTTCCTCAAGACTTGCAGCCTCCAGGTACACAAAAAAGAAAAACGCAGGCTGTACTAGAGTTTGCTGGTTATGTGTTTAGTTATGGTCTTCTTGTTTTGGTGTTCTTAACATAATTTATCTGAAAATCTTCTACTCAAAACAAATCACCAGAAAATGTTCCCTTGGACCCAGGTCCCAGCCAACTGCAGGCAGGAAGATTTTTTTTCTGAGCATATTACAGAGTTTTGCAATAAAACTCTTCTCTGGAAGAAAGCTGACATCTACCACCTAGTATAATCCACTAGAGGAGATTCATCTCAAAGCACAGCTACCTAAGGAAAGAGACGCTCAAAGAGAACTGGAAAGGGCTAATTAGGTATGTGTTTGTAGGACAAACACAGCGAGATGTTAGATGGCAGCTCATCATTAGACAAAAGAACTCCCCATCAAACCAATCCTAGAACGTCAGCAATCCTAAATGCTGTCTCACTACCACAAAACGGTGTTGAAAAGTCCTAGCTCAAAGAATAAAACCCAAAAATAAGTAAGTGACCGAAAAACTAAAAGAAGAAAGGGCCCAGTTCAAAGCTCAGTGGATTATTAGAAAGCCTCAGGCGGCTTAATACGAGACTCTAAATGCATCTCATTACGGACGATTTCAGTATGCCCGTTACGCCCGAGAGTCATGGGAGGGTCTCCTGTGGACAACACAAAGACCATCAATGACAGCCAAGTACACTAGTTTTTCCTCTCTCTGTTGTTTTGTGGTTTTTTTTGAAATAATGAATTCTCTTACTAGACATTGTGAGGCAGGACTCCCTGTCACCATCAGTATGTGAAAGGGCAGTTGCTCAGCCTGAGCTCCTGTTCTCTGATCTGTTGCCGTCCTGCTGATGAATCTCATCTGGTCTTTTGGAGTTGCTGGGGACAAGCTATGGTGTTAAGGAGTGAGGATACTAACTGTTTCTCCATATGATTTATGAAGTTTTTAAACAAGCTAAAAGAGTTGCCTGACCTAGACAGAATGGGCTAGTTTCGAAAGCACAATGACAGCATGAAGTCTAGCGAAAGAGACCCTCCCTCTACATTTGCTTTGAAGGCCGTGTTGGTCGGATAGCCTGATCAAGAAAACAAATCTGACAATGCTTCATTTGCATTTCTACTGACACTTGGAACCAGCCAACAATGACTTCTCTGAACAGAGCGGCGGAAAGGAAAAGCCATGCTGGGATACAATGCTGTCTCCAAACTGAACAGAAGGGAAAAATCCTGGGGTGTCTGGATCGGCTTCGAGGGTTGTTTGCGTTACCAGCTACTTGATTTGGAAGCATAAAACACAGACCAACAAAAAACAGAGAAGCTGTTAGTTTGCCAAAAATAATACCTGGACAGGTGTGTATCCTGGAATCCAACCTCAGCTTGAGCAACTGAGTAACTGCTGAAAGGGCTACACACAGCCCACACTCCTTCAGCAAGACGTGAGGAAGACAACTCATAGTTACACATCTAACATTAGGACTCAAAGCTTACAGGAAACTGAAGTGAATTTCAGGAGGAAACTGGTTTTAAAAAAATGGAGAGAGTGCCTATTTTCTTGACTTACTAACAGAGTGAGTAAAAAAGGAGAAAAAAAAAAGGTGGCTGGGGGACCAGAGTTCAGTGCTAACGCCATAGGTCAGGCACCGCACACACCCTTTCGGCCCGGCCGAGGAGTAACTCTGTCCCTCCGCGTCACAGGGACAGACCGACGCAGTGGAATGGACAAATCTCTCTGCCCTAAGCCACACAAACACCTTCACAGCTACCGCACTCCTGCAGCCTCCTTTTCTTCAGAATGTTCAGCACAAGAGTATTTTAATGCTGCTTGATGCTGTAAAATAAGGTGCTTCACTGCAACTTACCTATGCCCATTATGGAAGGGTCACAGCCGGCTGAGTGATAGGCTACTATTCTTGCCAGAGGAGTAAGAGCGTGTTTTTTCAGTGCTGATTCACTGGCAATAATGACTGCACCACCTCCATCGCACACCCCCTTGCAATAAGAGAGAAAAGCCTTCTTAGCGGAGAAAACACAGACAGACAAAAAAACCCCACACATACCATGTTAAACCCCCCATATTCAACTAAATAAGCCCCTCAAAAAAACCTGGCGTCCATAACACTATTATTAACATTTAACACGTATTAGTGTTTACTCAAAACAACAAACCACAATCTTTCACTATTCGGTGGACGGTGAAAGAAAGTCAAATATAGAGGTTTAATTAATTTCAATGTTTTAGCAAAGTAAAATACGTTTTTGCCGCTTAAAGTCTCCCTTACACTGGAAGTATCATTCTGTAGACTTGCAAGGACACTATTAATATTAGATAGCGCATGTACTATTAATTATAAAAGACACTTTACAGACACCCCTACTTACTGTGCCTACGATCTATTTTAGGCAGGAATTCAGATTACCTGATCACACTGGTCCTTCCGGCCCAAAGAACATTAATTAATTGATTAAGATAATGACTGCAAGAGGAACAGTCTGTAATGACATGCTGCTAAGCGCCCAGCCTGCTCCGGGTAAGAGCAAAATGTCGTTTGCACTACAGAGGATACTAATTGTGGCACCAAGATCAGCAGCAGCAGCACGCCCACCGATACAACGCACAATTTGTAAAGCAAATGTTCAGTAATCATTGCCCCCAAAAGAAAGTAGAACGGCTAATTCCACATAGCCAGTGCCGGTACCAACTGCTTAATTCAAGGCTGATGAGGAAGTGTCAATGCCTCACTAAAAGGACACTGACAATCCACAGAACCAAGTTTTAGGACAGAGGAGCAGACTCAAGGACCCCCTGCCATCTTGGGGCCGGAACAGTCAGCCACGGGCATTCAATTGCAGAATTAGAAATCATTTTCATCAGGAGACACCGCTGACAGCCAAAGGCGGCTCAGTGAGACGTAAATACAGCGACAATAAATTTGGAGAACCTTAAGCGGCGACCCTTTTGCAACCAAAGGCTGTGACATACTCACTGAAGCATTCCCAGCAGTCACCGTTCCATCCTTTTTAAAGACAGGTGGGAGTTTTGCCAGTTGTTCCAGAGTGCTCTGGGGTTTTGGGTGCTCGTCCTTTTGCATGCTTTCCTTCCCCTTTTTTGTCTTCACTTCAATTGGTGCCATCTCAGCATTGAAGTAACCAGCCTCATGAGCTGCAACCACAAAAAGGAAAATAAAAGGACTCTGATAAAAAGATCCAGAGGATTGCGCAGCACAACCACCAGTCCTTTTTTCATGCGCACACAACCTTTGCTCTGTTTTAACCACGAGTTCAGGGACAGTGCTGTTTATGCTTTATTTTGCTTAAATAGGCTGGTTGGTGTTTTATTGTTTGTTTGGTTTTCCAGAAACTGGGCAAAAACTCTACAAATACATTCTCAAACTTCTCCAAAGAAAGTCTCAAATATTAAAGTGCTATTTCAGCTGCAAATAACTGATTTTTTATTTTAATTATTAGATTTATTTTTTGGTACACAGGCCCCTGTGTTGTTGCTGTATTCTACAGCTCTGTCACTTATCAGATGGCCAAGAAGCTGTAAACCTCACACAGAGAGGAATGTGGAAAAAAATCCCGAGCCACATTTTCTCTGTTGATAACCAGCAAAAGCTCTTGTATATCAAATTCAAATCCTGTCCAAGCTCCTCCTCCACAGCATCTCACAGTCAAGTCGCGATCTTAGAACAGGATTCAGCTGCCTAAACAACCTGAGACCATTCAAGGCATTGTACGGATCTAAGATGCCCATAAGAGCATCTGGCCACATCACCTAAGACGACATTAGACACCAATATTCAGGCAACTAAACACTACCTTTTGGGTGCCCAATGTTGATGTGAACACACAGATTTAAAACCAAAACAACTGCTATCTCCCAAAACTGAACCAAGACTCCCACCCATTTCAAATCATTCCCCAAATGCAGCTCTAAGGGATTAAAAACTAAGGCACTGAAATTGCCGCATCTGATGTTGCTTAGCTAGCTCTGAATTTTCTCAGCAAATTCTACACAATCTTTTTCTTTCCTGATTAGCCACAGGACTCTCTGTGTGGAATCAGGTGAACTGATCATAACAAGCAGCAATAAAAACAGCAAGGCAAAATCCTAGAAAACACGAAAGAAGCAAAAGCCTCCTCAAGGGCACAGTTTCTAGCAGAGGCTCCAGGAATGGCAGGAGTTAGCAGGGAAGGTAACGCACGACTAAGAAAAGTTACAAAAAGCACTGCTACACCCATTGAAAAAAACACCAAATCTTCCTTCAAGAGAAGCAGCTGTTAAAAAGCACTGGATTCTAAAAGTAGATCTTTGCTGCTTCTGTTCATCGTTGGGTTGCAATGGATGGTGAAGTCCCAGGGCAACCACTAGCCATTCTTTTGTTTTTTTGGACTACCATCCTGTTTACGCTATCCATCAGTTCCACAGTAACCCCACGCCTCCGACTTCTGGCTTTGGCCACAAAAACCACCCAGAGAACAGTCTAAACACACGTCCTGAACAAAAATCCCCTCCTCAGATTCCATCTGCTCTAACTGTTCAAGGGTTGTAGCAGAGCATATGAATTACAAAAGAAAGAAAACAGGCTTTAGATCAATTATAGCACACGCTGGCATGCAAGAAGGACGTGGGTCGCTGTGGGAGAGGACTGTTCCGCAGGGAAGCGGAAAGCAAAGAGTCAGGTACGCCCGGGACAACGCTGCTCTGCTGCAGGGAAGCCAAGGGCAAGGCATCGCACCAAAGGCGCACCGACAAGCTATGTTCACGCACACGAATCCTGCTCAGGCAGGAGATGACATGTGACAGGCCAACGGCATTTGCTGCCTCAACAGCCACCGAATGTCTGCCAGGAAGAGACGCAGCAAGACGGTGGAAAGGGGCTTGGGACTCAACCTGCTGACAGGCACACCACTTGGCTCAGTGCATCCAAAGCCAAACCCCCTACGAGCGGGCTACTTCTATCACAGAGGAAAAAAAAAACGAAAAAACACCATGAATTACAGTACCTGCAAATAGACAAATTACACCAAGATGCACAAGTTATAGAAAATTCAAAAATACTTTATATCGATGCTAACAACTGACTAGATTTGTAACTTGTATCACATAAACACTTCCATTCCTAAATTCACTAACCAGCTTTGTATCTCTGTTGTGTTTTGAGGGCGTATCGGTCACATTCTTCTCGCGTGATGTTGTATTTTGCAGCCAGATTCTCCGCCGTAATTGCCATAGGGATTTTAACATGCGTATCCATTAGACCTTCCCACAATGTATCTTCCAACTGCATGGAACATGACGAAAAGAAAATCATAAAGCACAGCAATATTAACATTTATTATTGACAGCTTCTACTTAGTCAGCAGCCTCTTGGAATGTAATGTCTCCGTAAAATTAACTCAGGTTACTTACAGATACTTTCTTTAATTTACAACAGAACAAACGCACTGCAAAACAGTATGCAAGTTCTTGTGTGTTCTTTTAGTTAATCTGCATAGTGCTCCAGTGTGGTTCTTTCCACTCACGTGTGGCCCTGAGACACTGGGAAAAGCCTGTGATTCTTCGCATTTCAGCGTATTTCACTGCTGCATGAATCATTTATTCGAGACATATGAGAGGACGCACCTGAATTCCTGGTTACCAAGAAGGAAAGGTGAGGAACTGTGAAAAGGCACAGCAGACTACTGACTCCCTGGCTCGCTCTCTACTGTCAGGTAAAATCGCCTTACTTGAGTCCAAGGTTTCTGTGGCTAAAACATCTTGGGTGAGAAAATACCCAAGTCTAGCTTCACTTAATCTGATAAAGGCAAGCCCAGTCAGTCCAGATGGGTTTTGCCACCTCTCTGTCACCAGTAAAGTTCTGCAAGATAAATCACTTCTTCACCCGCAAGTGTATAATTCAATTATCTTCACAGTAAGAACCCAGCGGCACCTACGGAGACTCAGCGTTATCAGCTACCTCGGGAGGGTGTTCTCTGCGGGAACTGAGGCCGAGTCACACTGCCACGTGAGACTCACAGAACAGAGTCGAGCATACTTCATACTCACCACCGTCATCGTGGAAAAACAGCGTAGAAAAAAACCCAAAGTGCTCAAACACTGAACTATCCTAATTTAGCATTTTGATGGTGATTACGACCCACTGAATAAACGGCAATTATCAGAGCAGAACTGGGTCCTGCTGCAAATTTCCCACAGTATTCCCTAAGGATATGTCTTCAGAAGATAACGTGAAAATAATTTCTCCATCAATGGATTTAAGTTCAGTTTACTATTTTTAAAATTGAGAGACGCTTACAGCTTGCAAGTACACACGTTCTTTACCAGTCTCTCCACCCACTGCTAGCCTTACCAGCTTTGCCTAAACTGTGTATGCCTTTCTTTCACAGCCTCTGACATCAGAAATTTTTTTATTTTTCATACCGTACTTTGATGGGATGTAGCAAGTGAATTAAATTTTCTGGCTAAGAGTTTATGGAGATGTTTAACATGGAACAGAAGTTCAAAGCTGGTCTTGGAAAAGTTAGAAAACTGGCATGCTTAACAAAACTGCCTGAACCTACTGTTTTGATAATGTGAGAATACTGGATAAATGAACAACTAAACCTGGACCTAATCTCTAATTATTTCATTTCACAGAATCACAGAATGTTCGGGGTTGGAAGGGACCTCTGTGGGTCACCCAGCCCAACCCCCTGCTGAAGCAGGGTCACCCAGAGCAGGCTGCACAGCACCGCGTCCAGGCAGGTCTTGAATGTCTCCAGAGAAGGAGACTCCACAGCCTCCCTGGACAGCCTGTTCCAGTGCTCCGTCACCCTCAGAGGGAAGAAATTCTTCCTCATCTTCAGCTGGAACTTCCTCTGCTTCAGTTTGTGCCCGTTGCCCCTTGTCCTGTCGCTGGGCACCACTGAAAAGAGTCTGGCCCCATCCTCCTGACACCCACCCTGCAGATACTTATAAGCATTTCTAAGGTCCCCTCTCAGCCTTCTCTTCTCCAGGCTGAACAAGCCCAGCTCCCTCAGCCTCTCCTCATAGGAAAGATGCTCCAGTCCCCTCATCATCCTCATAGCCCTCCGCTGGACTCTCTCCAGTAGCTCCTCATCTTTCTTGAAGTGGGGAGCCCAGCACTGGACACAGTACTGCAGATGGGGCCTCACTAGGGCAGAGTAGAGGGGAAGGAGAACCTCCCTCGACCTGCTTGGCCACACTCCTCTTAATGCACCCCAAGATCCCATTGGCCTTCTTGGCAGCCAGGGCACACTGCTGGCTCATGGTCAACCTGTCGTCCACCAGCACTCCCAGGTCCCTCTCCGCAGGGTATAGTGTCAACAGGCCCAATACTTCACGTTGCTCTGTAATCATGACTTTATTTGCAGAAATTAAACAAAAAAAAAGGTAAAAAAAAGTACCAGACCTTGAGTTCTGCTCCTAATCTGGTTCCAAATCGAACGTTTCGAACTGCATAAGGAGCCTGGCTCATACTTTCACCTCCACCACACAGAACAACTTCTGAGTCATTCAGGCAAATTTCCTGTGGACAGAAAACAAAACAGATCTGGGATTTAGTCTGCTGCTTTTGTAAGACAATAACAACCGGTTTAGAAAAAGACCTTGTCACCTACAAAGCCACACACAGAGAGTGAATTCAAGCTCAGCCACGTGTGTGTCTATGCAGGGTCTACTGTTCTATTAACACCGGGGTCTGTCTCTTTCATTACGTGTTCCTTCTTCCCCCTTTTAGCAAGGAATGATTGTCTCAATGAGGGAGGAAGAGAACAGGGGCACACACATACGACAGGACTGATGAACAAAGCCAGCAAGCATCCCCATGCTCCTGTGGTTAGGTTCATATACAGTTTTCTTTTTTTCGAGCTCCTACTGTTCTCAAAACGAACACAAATTAAACTTCAAAGCCTGAAACTGGACCTTACAATTCATAAAAAAACAGCACATCATTTTAGAAAACCTTACCCAGGTAAGCTGCCAAAAGAGACCCCCAAACTGCACTCATTCATCACTCGCAAAGCGCACAGAACCTGAAAGCCCTAATTCCTAAACTCACCAGGGGACCACTAAGAAATTCTGCTTCCTCCAAATGATTCACTCCATTGGACAGTTAAGGTTATTACTGGTATGGAAGCAGATGAAATTACCTTGACATGTGTTTGAGATGGCTAGTTAATAATTAGCATGACTAATTTGCAGTGATATATGCTTCCTACAGCTACCAAGAGCTTTGTGCACATTTAAGCAGCTCACAACGGAATCTGCAGCTTTGTCGTGTGCCAGAGAAATACAGAAGCATTAGCTGCATTGATGGAATGACATCATTGGAAAAGACCTCACAGCTATACTTTTGACATAAGTGGCCAATTCTCCAACAGATTTTTCCAGTGTAGACTAACGTGTGTGGCCTTTACAGCAGGCACTAAAAAAACCCCAGACCAAACAGTCAGATGGATGTTGTTGTAAACACATAACCTCAGCTCTACAGTGTCTTCCACATTTCTTCCTCTAGAGGATCAGACTGAAATAATTCTCTAGACAATGGGAACTTCAAAAAAAACCACAAACAACAAAAAACAACCATGTGGGTGCTCAAATATTTATAAAATACCGTTTAATTTTGTAAAGTCTAGACCACTCTTAGTGGTAGACAGTTGGTCTGTATGAACAAATGAAATAAAAATCACTGTACCACTGCACCATCTTACTCTGTGGTTCTGGCCAACTGCTGAAAGAGAAGTTGGTTTTCTTCTATTTTAAAAGAAGTGATGCTATCAGTGATCTAACCCCTGAGAGGGTTTTCATCTTTCAACAAAAACACGCTTAAAAAGCACAGGTTGCTGCTTACGCAGCTAGCCAGGTAAGAATATAAACAATGATCAAACAAGACGAAAGCCTCCTGCAGTGGTTCCGATGCCCAGTAACTCCAGTGCATACAAACAGGATCACAGCATGCAACTAATGCACAGCTGAGCTCTATTTCGCTGGCTAACACTTGTTGCCTTCCTTAGATTTAACTCAGAACAGCTAGAATGATGATTTTTAAAACCAACTACAAAATATGGCACTGTGCCGGATGAACTCCTGCACAAAACCATGCGGGACGATAGGAAGTCTCTACCAGCGGACGCTAAAAATCCATGTTTATAGAATCAGAGAATGGTCAGGCTTGGAAGGGACCTTCAAGATCATCTGGTTCCAACCCCCCTGCCATCAGCAGGGACATCTTCCACCACACCAGGG